TGATGAAGGTAATTTTAAGAATCCCTTAGGAAAATAGAGTGACAATATCAGTAGTGAAATGTCTTGTATGAAGCAGGTCGTTTTAAGAATAATAAATCCAAGAGTAGAGCACATATACATGTATATAGCTCTGTAAATTGCTAATGAATTTTCTGTAGCAAGTTACAAACATACATATACATGTAAGATAGCAGATTAGTTTGCATTTTTAAATACATTTTTAGGTTACAATCAAGATGAAAATAAATACCGAATGCCCAACTAAAATGATAATACTCTTTATTATACGACAGTTTCACACAGTTTTAAGAAAGTTTAAGATTCTGAAAATAATTTATAGGACCGTATTTCTTATCCATCTCAGGAAAGTCATTCTGACACAGAAAAAAAGTTTTATTTGGGGGGGGGGATGCTAATAAATCCTAACTTTATTTGCAATTTTATTGATTATAACAAATTTAACTAAAACGAGAGGACATACAGGTCCACTGAGGCCAGAGCATGTTTACATACGATAACAAGGGGGCAGGGACTCCCAAGAAATATTGAAGAAGACTGACTCAAATCATAATTCAATAACGAGCAAATAAGCTTGACTGGAAAGTTTTACTCTTATAATCAATATTTGTCAAGAGATTCCGTGGATTGCGCCCTGGATCTGCTGGGGATATAAGGCGGTCTCCAGACCCCCTGCATGATGAAATTATGAAAAAATTTACACACACCCCCCCCCCCCCCAGTTCTTGGATCCTTTTTGGTACGACTTATGAATATGAAGTTCTAAGGTTAAATATAACTTAAAATTGTCGTTTTACTTAGTCTTATTGGGCATAATAAAATGTTTGAGCTTGTCCAAGTACAGTGCAGGAAACTAATTTTGTTACAGCATCGATGCTGATTTGAATGCTTCCTTTGCTTGCTGATTTGAATGCTTCCTTTGCTTGCTGATTTAATGCTAGTAATCCTTATCCTGATGCTGTTTTATAATTAGGTCAATGCTACCGGAAGCAGCATCATGCTACCGGAAGTAGATAATGAATTTCAGCATTGCCGTTTAAAGCAATAAAAGAGTGCCTTTTACAATTATTTGATCATAATATCTCACTATGTATCAATAATGTGAATACTTTAACCAATATTCTTTCTTTCTTTTTTAATTTTTTACTGAATTAAAACTCATTGATTTTCTGATGCTAGTAGGATAATGCTGGTTTTATGTAGGTCAATGCTGGTTTTATCCTATGCTTGCTGATGCTGATCCTGGTAATGCTGTTTTTTAAATGCTGATCCTGATGCTACTAATGCTTATGCTGATGCTGGTTTTATGTAACAAAATTAGTTCCCTGCACTGTAATCACATTATTAATCAAATACTTTCTTTATAAAGATATTCTTCTTTCTTTATCCATATTCTCTAGTCTTATATTGAAGACAAATTCATCAGACAAAATGACAGAAGAAGCGACGGAAAGCAAAATTTAATATATTTCCTAAAATGGAAATAATAATCTTAAGAAGAATCTAAACGCTAGCGAAAAATGTTTTTGGACTTAGAGAAATTAATTTATTTTCAACATACAGTACTTTGTATATATTTCTAGGAAAAATTATATAAGGCAATGAAGAATTGGTGAAGAGAAATCACTGCTGTTTTTTTTTTTTTTTACATCGGGAAAATTCATACCAAAAAATATATCTCGGTCTTCAATAATATTTAGAATATTTAAATCCATCACATATTGTGACATTCACTGTATATTTCCGTTTATTCTATCATATCTAAGAGTAGATCACTCTAATTTCATAAAACTACCATGGGATTAATACTTTTCAGTGTGCTGTGTAAAGCCTTCTTACAGAAAATTTCAGCAACTTCAGCATTTCATATTCTAGGTTTACAATTCAGCATTTAAACAAACCTCCCAGGGATGTTTTTCGTCAAGAAAGACAACAAAGACATAACTTTTTTGAGCAAAGAGATTAGGGCCATTATAAGAAAGGGCAATAGAAGAAAAAATATTAACCGGAGGAAACGTAGATTACGCTATTTGTTTCATTTAACGAGAATGATGAACTTCTTAAGGGTAATGGGCAATAAGTATTCATCAGAGATTTGTGGTAAAATGGCTCTCATTTAAGATGTCTGAAGAATAGCGGGGCATGTGTTGGTATAATGGATGAGTTGCTGCTGCTATTTTCACGTGCTTTAAAGACCAAAACTGTCACGTTATTTAATTCATTACTCGATTATATCAAAGACAAAACTTATAATTGGGGTATGTTCTTCACAACGCTCGATTTGAAACATTCCAGAAATTTACATTATAACACCTGTAGGAGATTCTTCTTTCTGGGAAATAGTGGCACCCGTCGACATAAATAAATGAAACTGGAACGGAATGAATTATACATAAAGGTTTTTTTTAAATAACAAACAGAAAAATGATAAAATAAACTATGCTTCGCAGATCGTCTTCTCCATTCAGAGTAAATACACGCAACACTCTTCATGCTTTCTATCAGCTTCTTATGTATTCTGAATTTTATAGCTTTATGATGCAACAATATTTTCTTGACTGTTATGCTTTTTTTTTTCTTTAAAACATGGCGTTTGACTTTAATTTACGTGAAACAGTTTCATTAAAAAAACATCCTTTATCATTACTAACAGGATGTCCAAAACGGTAGCCGAGTTTCCTAAAGTAGCAAGACACTGATTAAATTTCCATGCTAAAGGGCTGACGTTATGTTGCCTACAGGATATAAAATGACCATAAGGGCGCACTCGAGCGCTAAGACCTAAGAGACCGCGCACTCCAGCACAAAGACCTAAAAGCCAGCGATAATTTACGCACATTAACATCCAAGTTAAAAACTAAGTCAAGTTACATCAATGTTAAAGATAGATTATGGACATTTTTCCATTAATGACTCTGGCAAGTCCTCACATCCGCTCCATTCATTCATGGTTTTGCTCTTTCGAGAAGGATGCACCTATTAACTATTAATTAATTAGATTTTCTTCATAACCTGGTCTTTGGTTGTAAAAAAGGAGCATTTTGTCATAACACCACTGAGCGTAATGCTCAAATAAAATGTTTAAAATGCACTTACAAGGAAGCTTACTATACAGTATCCTTACTGAACCATGATTATATAGTACATGTTCTAGAGGCGATACTTCTAAGGAATTGTATAGGGTAATTGATTCTACGGATACGGGTGTCTTCCAATGACTTCATAATACAAGTACTTGTTTTGTTTTGTTTTTCATTATCACTAAATCATTTCATTGAAAAACATTCAGTTTTATTTAAAAACGGAAAGAGAGAAAGAAAAGGGGGAAAAGTCCAATTCTATACTACGATTCATACATGCACTGAATTTTTTCCCGAAAACATGCGTCCTGATGTTGCTTTCATACAATATTAGTTGATATTACCTTCTGATATATCATGTTTTAGTCTTTTTTATGGCATGTTACGTGGCTCGTTATGCATTTTTGAATATTCAATAAAAACCGGTAAAGAATATGGGCGAACAAGGCGAGCACAATGCCTACAGTGCATCAAACATGCAGGTGAAAAATTAAATCTCAATTAAAACAAAATTTTCTTTGATATTTCATCTAAAATGAAATTATACTATATATGAAATCTCCACAATTTGCATAAAAATCTCACAAAGATTGAAATTATTTGCCTATGAAATAGCATACACACACTAGAGAGGACTAAAAGGATCATTTTCTCATACTAAAACACAATTTTTCGATATGAGTGGGTCCTTGCTCCATATTTTTCAAATTTATCCTCAAAGTTTGCGAGAAAATATACATTTTTTGGTCAACAAAAACATGGAGCAAAGACACACTATACATTAAAAATACACTTTTATGACACATCGTTAGTCTCAAAGAAAAAATGATACTCAGGATTTTTATTTATAGGGTTCGAACCTCACGAATATCGTATTAATTTTTTAATAACAGAATAATTTTGCCGAGAAAATATTCTTCAGAAAAGTTTTGTTTATCATAATTTCATAAATTTCAATAATGAGAACTTTACTTTTAATACGAAATTCACAAATTGATTATTATTTTATATATCTGATGCTATAGACATTCTGCGCGCCTTGTTCACCCATCTCCTTTCTAAATCAATCCTAATTTAAATCTTAAGATGTTATACTAAAAAAACTGTACTAAAAACAGTTGTAGTTTTATTGCATACCTAGAAATAAATGTCGTTATAAATGCAGTAATGATATTGGGAGTATTTGTGAGAGCCTTTCGATCCCTTTTCAAAGCATTACGAGATTTATCAGTACATTGTTATATAAATTTACATTTCACAAAAGTCATAATAACCCCTTGTGCTTAAACTCCTATTTCAAAATTCATTATATTTGACTTGCTCATATGGTAAGAATGTAAAAACTAGAAAACAGAAACCATCAATGCAGACCTCACGGAACGCTATTAAGATTTCCAGCTGCCTGGTGTTATGAATTATTGAACGTAAATATGTTACTTCATTTATTTTAGTTATTAAATTATGACCTTCGGATTTATCTTCCTGTAAACCAAAACCTTGAAAAAAAAAAAAAACATACACGCTGAACTTTCTCTGAAGGAATTTATCATGGGGAGAAATCGTGCTAATACAATATAATACTGAGAATAGAAATGCATTTGAAATTGACCTTGCAACTTCTACTGACTCAATTTAATATTATAGAAGATAATACATGCAGTTGACTTCAATTTGACCAGACAACTTCTACTTAATTGAGTTTTAGCATTCCATTTAGCATAAAGAATGAATGATTATAGAAAAAAAAATACCTAGAATTTTTACATTTAGTATGGTTGTGAATTAAAGAAAAAGAATTAACATCAAATATACTTGGGCTAAGTACATGACCACCTTAAAATATTGCATTTGAGGTAGATAGAAATATGGAATTACATACTTATAACTGCACGAAATACTTACCAATGAATATATTTATCATTGTATTGATTGGCATGACAACAATAGCCACCAAAAGGTCTGCACAAGCCAGGTTTACGATGAAAAAGTTGGTCTTTGTATGCATCCACCGATGTCTGATCACCACAATAATGACTGTGAGATTTCCAAATAAAGCGAAAAGAAATATCAAGGCGTAAGCCACCGAATAAATGACAACCACCTCTAATTCGTGCTTTAGTTCTTGTGTAAAACTCACATTTAAGCTATCACTGCTAGAATTGCTTTCCATTACAAGGCAATCATAAGTTTCCTATCAGAGAAGAGAATTTCACTTGTTGAAATCTTTATGTAAATATTACGGTGTGTTTTCCTAAGTTGCTACAGGACGACTCCGCTCTCAGGGATACTTGTGACCACTAACTCTTAAGAACCGATGCCAGACCTATCAATGGGTATCGCTCCGTATTGTTTTCGCTGTTCGACTAACGATCTGTCATCATACTTTCGTTATTTGATCCTTATTGATTGTAGGTACACATTTTAAGAAAGAGTTCTGCTCACAACTTGCGAGACTTTAACGATTCCCTGTAACTTGGCACTTCATATTGTTCAAAGATTTTGTTATCAATTAACTCAATTATATGCTTCGAAAATTGGAAAGCTTCTTCCGACGTGACCAGGAGTGGGCTTTATGTGCGCATTACAAAAAAGTTTAATATAAATTTTATTTGCTGATAAAATCTACGTCTGACATGGCAGGAGTTCAAGCTTGCATTTCTTCCCGAGCTCCTTTTCTAATGAAAATATTTATTTAATTGTCTGCATCCAATTTCTTCCATTCTACACGATTAAGTCAGCATACAATTGCGACCTTTAAGGATAATTTTCAACAACAGAGATCCCTCTTAATTCCTAGTAAGTGAACTTTATAGAGGAGAGTATATCAACGGAGACAAACTCTAATTAAGTCCAGTGCTTTCTGGAAGAATAAATCCACAGTGACAACATGTAAATCTGTACCTTGCAGAACGGATTATGAACGTCATAGGCATGTCAAGATTTAATATGACATATTATAAGAACTCTTCACAATGACTTAATTCAGGGTACTGCTAAAGTTTACATAGTTTCATTCTAATATCGTATAATGCAAAGTAGATAACTGAACAATGCTCTTGAAAATAATAAAATCGTAACTGAAACAGAACGGCAATAAATTCGTTATTTCAATTATTTTGCCAATCCATTCTTTAGATATCTCTCACTGGATAAAAAAATTATTCTTACATGCAAAGAGAAGAAAGTGATTGTATTTGTAAACATGGAAAATAGATCTTAATGATTAATAAAAATAAAAAAAAACAAACAGCTATTCCATAATGAACTATTTTCAGCAGTATTATGATTAATGTTGTGCGAGGCAGAGAAAAGGAAATTTGAGAAGTCTCTTGCTAGCTCTCCTATATGTATCTATCTATCCATCAATCTATGCAACACGTTAATACGATGTTACGTATTATTTTCATATATTTTCACTACAAGTGAAAAGTCGCAGACACGTGGTATCATTGAAGAACCACAGATACACTCAATAAACAATCGAACAATTTTATATTTCTTTACGCACAACCTGACATCATTTCACTCCTCCCAATACGTGAAAGAATAATTCTTATTATATCATTTTCATACGAAGATGTACGCGTATCTATACGCGAGAAAGCCAATTTGGATAAACAAATATAACTGCGACGAGATATTGCATTCACGTGGAACAAATTAATAATTGAAACATCAATTTTTGTACAAGCTAGTCAGAAAAAAAAATTGTAGCAGACATCTGTCAGAACCTTTTTAGACATATTAACAGTATAATAACAAATAATAATAATATCATTGTCTGTTTCCTGGAGAATGAAGCAGACATTCTTCTTTATGGCATGTAGTAGAACGATGTACAAAACCAGGGTCGTGGCGGTCACCGTTTGCCGCGTGCAGGGTCTGGCAAAAGCATATAGGCGAACAAGAAACCTACAGATTTGAAATATCTTAACCTGTAACAAATAAGCATTGAAAACCATGCGGAACACGGTGTGTTTTGACACGTCAACTACACTTTAAAATAGCTCTGAGAAGACTGGCGTCTTCATCTTGTCTGCACAAACAAAATGTTTTCCCCCTCTCTGAGTTTTTCGAGATTACACACAAGCAGTGCAATTTTATTTATTTCTAAACTTCTATTTGTCGGTTGATACGTCAAAAGCTTTATTCTGCTTATTCGTCGGCAGGTGCACAGTAACTGTATGTCAAGCATTTGTAAACAAGCTTCAGTCTTCTAAACAACGTATTCACCAGCAGATGTTCGTCTGTATGTCCTTCCGTCTGTCCTTTTACTTAAGATGGATATATCTGAATGACACTTGTACGTATTGTTTAAAAATGTTTTGCATTAAGTCTTTTCAATATTAGACTAAGATTTGGTATACTGTTATATAATGAACTATTTTTAATTATTAAGAAATTCTTTCAGTTTTTTTTTTTTTGGAGGGGGGGGGGGTGTATTATGTAATAATCCTTACAGATGATATTTAACCTTTCTTATTTTACGACTTTTTATAGTTTAAGAACTGGTTAATATTTTTGTGAGTTTTATCCTTTCATATTTTATATTGAATGAATTAAGATTTTGGTACGTTCCTTTTCATAGAAGAATATTTCGGATATAGTTCGACTTCCTTCGTAATCTGATCACATTTATGCAGAATTTGGTAATATTGACTGAATATCTAATTTCAATTTCCTTACAACGATTTAAAAAAAATTCTAGAATATTTAGTCTTTCAAATACGTATAAAAGTAGAATACATGTACCTTTTTTTTTTTATAATTTGCGAAATACTGACCCAGTTGAACTGAATTTAGCCCAAAGGCTTAATTACTGAGATTCAATGAATATTCGGTTTTTACAAATTCCTTTAGATGGTTTAAATTTTAATACCTTTCAATGCAATATGAATTTAAAAAAAAAAGTATACTATTAGATTAAGTGCGCATTTGTCAGCTGAGCAGAGCTAGTCAGTCCAGCATTTACATGTATTTAAGATTGGGCTACAAGTATTCTGCGATAACTGATATGCGAATTTTCATGATAAAGAAAAGTTTTTATTTTTTTTACTCCAGAAAGACTTTGTACATTATATAGTTCAAGGCAAATAGCAGACGATTTTCATCACTTTAACTGTAATACCTCCTTCGTTAGCCAGGTTGTACTGTTGCTCCCTTCGCGCCAAGGGAAGATAGGGGAGTATTTGAGCAGGATTATAATTTGAATGAATTTAAAATTAACTATCAGCAAAATTTACAGTCGTGGCGAAAAGGGGGCAACAGTACAACCTGGCACACGAAGGATATATTAAAGTTAAATTAATTTCGAAAAATGTATACATTGTTTCGGAAAATAAAGGATAAAATTAATTGTAATGATATATAAATATCTTTGTTATTGATAAGAAAAAAAAATCAGTAATTAATCATTGATTTTCCGTAATGCATAACAACGCTTGAGGCTTATCTAGTATTTAAAACCTTTGTTTCGACACTTTTCTATATGCTATAAAACCACACGGACGTCTCAAACCTTTATTAATCTTGTTTTCTTCAATTTTCTTTTTATTTCCTCATATTATCTGCTAGCCAGAAGGACAAGAAGCGTCTCAGCCCAAAAAAGGGACAAATCACGTAAATAGTCATTTAAACTCATTGGCAATTTGAAATTGTTAATTAGTGAAAGACACACCATTTGCGGCCGATTTGATGCTAGGCATCAATTTCACTTGTATACAATTCGAATTTCCATGCACTAAACGTTTATATTTTGACATCATTGATATTTTGCTGCCTCATGCAGTTACAACAAATTTGGCTAAATTGACACTTGCAAAACGTTATTTTTACGATAATGAATTTGCAAAACGTTATTTTTACGATAATGAATTGTCGCCCGCGTGGCGCAGTGGTTAGAGCGTCTGCTATATAGTCGCGAAGTAAGGAGTTGATCCTTACGTCGCGGGTTCGAATCCCACTGTGGGACGTGGAGACCGGTCCTTCGGATGAGACCGTATAAACCGAGGTCTCGTGTCGCAGTAGGTGCTGGCACGAAAAAGATCCCTCACTGCTCAAAGGCCGTAAGTGCCGAGTATAGGACAAAATTTGCATCTCTCCACCGGCAAGTGGTGGCGTCTCCATATGAGTGGAAAATTCTCGAGAGGGACGTTAAACAACAAACAAACAAACGATAATGAATTGCAATACTACGCTTATAAGTAAAGTTCCAGTGTACGCTGGAAGGTTCAAGTATGATTGATTTAAGATTCAGTGACATTGAAGAAACGGTCAATCCAGTGAAGTAACAATTTGACATGTTTTTATGCCCCCGTAACCAAAGATTCGGGGGCATATAGTTTTTGCCCTGTCCGTCCGTCTGTCTGTCCGCAAAAACTTTAACCTTGCCCGATAGGTTGGGATTATGGCTTTGATATTTCACATGTATATCCCTTGTGACAAGACCTTTCTTTGGGTACCATCATATTTGACCTTGGAATTTGACCCAGTTTTTCAAAATTTTGCCCAACTTTAACCTTGGCCATAACTTTGAACAGTTGCTGATAGGGCTTTCATACTCCACATATGTAATTCATGTGACAAGACCTTACTTCGGATTCCACCAAATTTGACCCTTTGACTTTCAACTACCTTTGAAAAACTTTAATGTTGGCCATTACTTTTGAACGGTTGGTGCTAGGGCTTTCTTATTTCACCTGTGTATTTCTTGTGAGAAGGCCTTTCCTTGGACACCATTTATTTTGACCTTGATGTTTGACTTACTTTTGAAAAACTTTAACCTTTTCCATATCTTTTTAATGGTTGCTGCTAGTGCTTTTATATTTCACAGGTTTATTCCTAGAGACAAGACCTTACCTTTGGTACCAACGTATTTGATTTGCATTTGAGAAAGTATAACCTTCGCTATAAGTTGCCATACGGGGGTATCAGTGTTTCAGAAACACATCTTGTTTTAATTAGTGACGCTCAAGGAAGAAGTTTGATTAGGCTATCAAATGCAAGATTACAGGATTTTGTTTTTGTCGTTTTACCAATTTCCCTTTACATACAATATACATACAATTTTTAGGTCACCTGAGTCACTCAGGTTACCTATTGCTATCCGTTCTCATCCGTCGGCGTGGGTCGTGTGTTAACATTTGATTATTTTTAGCTTCTTGTCTGAAACCGCTTAACCAATTTTAACCAAATTTGGCATATAGCATCTATGGGTGAAGGGGTACATAAATTATGAATTTCCTTGTCCCTGCCCCCCTCCCCCCCCCCCTGGGGCCTAAGGGTGGGGCTAAAACCACCAAAAATAATAATCTTTAAAAATCTTCTTCTTTACTCCTGGACATCAAGCAGTCAAACTGTTGGCATCATTGTAATAAGCATTGGGCCCTCTACCAAAATTGTGAAATTCATGGCCCCAGGGTCAGGGGTTCTGGTGCTAGGGTGGGGCTATATAGATCATATAGTGAAAGTGCATTATTTCTTTGAAAATCTTATTCTCTGCACCTGGGTATTAAATAAACTAAGTACATAGTTAAGAAGATCAAGAGTGCCTCTTCCAAAATC